ATAAACAGACAGTAGGTGAAACTACTCCGAATCAGAGCGTCCGCTCATGGCCATGCACCTATACATTCTTGTACGAGCGTGTAGCCATGCACCGATCTCTCTGTCCGTCCCAATAGCCAGACGTCTGTTTGGCCCCCCGGTCTTCCCATGGGCGGTGTAGCGGCAGGCTGCAGGGCCGGACACCATCAGGGAGCGCCAATTTCCGACAGTAATCTGTCTGGAGGATCCACTTGAGCAGATAAAGCTTACAGTCTGACCCTATACGTTCTTATACTATCGTCTCTGACCGTCTAGGTCTGACCCCTTCACTCTACGCCCCCCTTCTCTTTGTGTATCTCTCGCACACACACACACACACACACACACACACATACACACACATGCACACACACACACTCTCACACATACACGCACACGCACACATACACAGTCCACAAACATATATATATATATATAGTTATCTAATTCTCCTGACTTCATACTTTCGCCACTACGTTACTCTCCCTTACAACGAATAGGTTAACATTATAAAAAGCCCCATAGCTGCTCGATTTATCGCCACAGATAACTCTTTAGGTAAGGACGTGCCAGACACTTGTGTCTGATCAGCAGACCAAAGGCCATATTGTGGCATTTTGCGCACTATCAACACAAATTCAACAGAAACACGGATTTGCTTAATTAATAGTATCTTTCTATGTTCATATTTGAAATTGCAAGTCATATTATTTTGATCTTCCTTTGCCGCATTTTTCCTAACTATGTCGCATTTCAACTTGCTATGTTCACATTTGAAGGGGAAATGCTATAATATAATGTGCATGTTGCTACCTTTCACGTTTATGTATTAGATGTAAAAAAACCAACCCCAAAAACATCTGTATGAAAAATGTTCGTAGATGGTTGGCGGGCATTCTGGAGTAGTTGTGTTTGTTTTCTCTTTCCTATCAAACATATATCGCCCTTATAATGTCTCCTCCTCCTTTTCTGTGTATATTGCTCTCTAGTGACACATCTAATCTCCGGCACTTGTATGACCTATTTGCGTTGCAACTACAGTAAAACTCTTACTTAAACTAAACGTGTTCGAGTGTTGTACAGTACAATGACCAGGCTGCACTTCCTCAATGAGCGAAGGCCCATAATATAGTATGTGTTATTACCTCCATACTGTGCCGGACAGGGGCTAAAGACCGACCAGTGAAAGGCTGGGGTAATAAACAAAATGTCCGGGTATAAGACCACAATACATATAATTTGAGGAAATAACGTAGAATGTGGCGTAGAAGGTACTCTTATAAAAATAACGTGTGTGGCGTAGAGGAAAGACGTTTTTCAGCATCGCGTAGTGCCTACCTCTTTTTATTATTATTGTTGTTACGAAGGGACCACTGTTATCGAGGGTCTGCTTCGTATAGCAGCTAAAAACCCTGCCTTGTAACCGTGCGCAAGGCTCGAGTTTGTGATAGATGCGATGAGATTGAACAAAATATCATCATTATTTGGGTCCGCCTTCAGTTGGGTTTTGTTTGGGTCCGCCTTTTGTTGAGTTATATTTGGGTCCGTCGGTCTTTAGTTGGTTCCGTCTTTAGTTGGGTTTAAATTGGGTCCGTCTTTAGTTGGGTCCGCCTTTAGTTGGGTCCGTCTTTAGTTGGGTCCATCTTTAGTTAATTCCGTCTGTCAGAACTGCTGGCACGTTTAGGGGACCTATGCCCTCTGAGAGGAGGGAGTCGTGGAAGGAGGGGGAGGGGGTGTCTGGTGGAAACGCGCGAGGGCTGGACCCAGGAGCAGTCGGCGGGCACGGTGCCGCGCTAATAGAGGGAGGCCAGGAATAATCGAACTCCATCAGTCTACTTGTTGGGGGAGAGGAGAGTGAACTTGTCTGGGGGAGGAGGAGGAGAGAAAGGGGAGAGTAGAATGACCTTGTTTGGCTTAGGGTGAGGAGAGGAGATAGATGGAGAGGAGGGGGCGAGGACGAGGAAAGGAAAATGACTTTGTTTGTCTGAGGAGGAGAAAAGGAAGAGGGGAAGAGAATTATCATGTTTATCTGAGGAGGAAAAGGGTGAAAGAATGGCTTTGTATGACTGAGAAGATGAGGACGAGAAGAGGAAAGGGAGAGGGGCTGGAGAGATAGACTGAAGGGAATAAACTGAAAGACAGAATGCTGATATGAAGGACTGTCGGAAGAGACGAGTAAACGAAGAGAATTACGTCGTGATAATCTGCTGTCTTTTCAGATTAAAATTTAATATTGTTTGTCTTTTTAAAATTCACTCTCCTCTTTATCCCAGTCCTCTTAATATGAGGGATGTTCTATAATTGAATTATTTTGGTTTATTATAATGGCTCCATTGTCAGAAGACCCGAACTGGATTCTCATGTGGGGAGAGTTTGTATCGGATATCTCAGTCTGTCTGCTTGGACGTTGTGTCCCTCTCACCTTGGTTGGTCTTCACAGTCAAGGTCGAAACCCGCTTACTAATAAATGATCTAAACTGTCGATAGGGGCGTAAAACACCTTCATTATAAATAAGAAAAGAATCAAGTAAATCTGTCAATACCATGATTACGATTGTTCCGATTGTTGTAACACGTGCTCGTATGCGAACGCTTACATCCAGCCCGCATCTATCTATCCATCCATCCATCCATCCATCCATCCATCCATCCATCCATCCATCCATCCATCCATCCATCCATCCA